CGATAATCACGCCGCTGACAGCAGCTCACATCGGCCCCTACCGAGCTTCCCGGTAGGTCGGACCTTGGCCAGGTTCACCTCGGCCCTCATACTTAGCACCCATCAACGCTAACGGTGGTGATCTCGGCAGTCCGAGCTGGGCATGACTCATAAGTCATCTTGGAGAACCAATAGGGGTCCTCCACGTGTCCAGGGTATTCTTTCCCCCAAACATGATTGATCATAAATTGCTATAGTATAAATTCTTATTTGCTCAATCAATCTAGTGGTTTCAAAGTTTCAGGTTTTTTGTTCAAATTCTTTTATTTTTTATTTTTATAATATATTTTATATTGTTGATTGTTGAATACCTTAATATGTGAGATTTGTTTACATTAGTTTACTTATAATATCAATATTTCTACAAGAAAATATGAATCTTGTTGATGCGGAAATTTGGCCTCCTGGGATCTCGCCAAATTCACATCAATCTTCTATAATAAATGGATTGACGAGACCTGCAAAATAGAATAAGAACTAACGACCGGTGCGAATCTTGCTACACAGGTTCCGATGCTTAATTTAGGATTGGAGTAGTCGAGTATGGATAGTATGGTAATTTGGCGTAGCAAATAGTAGACATTTGTAGCATAGTAAATAGTGGGATCTTTAAGCATACCTTTAGGTTTGGCTCACCCTCCTATTTATAGAAGTCGAATCCTAATCCCTTCAAGATTTACATCAGTCGAATCCTATTCCCTTTAGGATTTACATAAGTCGAATCTTATTACATTCGAAAGATCTAGACAGAGTGGATCTCATGCTGCATTCAGGACCGAGTCAACTCGGATTGGGATTGTGTGAGGGTGGGGAAGAATCGATGGCCGAGAACTCTTCAATGTCGAGAAGGTTTCAGAGCCGAGGTCTGGTCAATGACTGCTTGACGCTAACCCCGGGTCGGTTATAGCCAGCCCGGGTTGTCGGGTCCCAACCCACTTACCTTGCTTCGCGGGTCTGCTTTTTCTTCGACTTCATTCCTCCTTTTCGGTTGTTTAATCTGATCTCCAATTTCTTCCTATAACAATAGCCCCAACTCTCAAAATAGAAGGCATAAAGCACGTTAGGACTTCTATATTAAGAGTATTTGTCGCTGTCAGTTGTCATCATTATGGGCTGGCTATCCTAACCCCCATTCTCTTTTGTTGTAGTTGGCTATAATCAAGTCTCTTAGGCACTACTATACGGTTAGTTTTTACCGCTAGATTTTGGCCTTGGGATTTAACTTCTCAGCAGGGCCGGTGGTAATTCATTAGGTTTCTAACCTATTTGGCTTCTGCCCATGATTCTATACCCCAGGATTCACTCTTGGGTTTCTAACCTATTTGGCTTTTGCCAATGATTTTATACTCTGAGTCTAGTCGACCTTAGGTTTCTAACCTTTTGGCTTTTGTTGGTTTTTTACCCTAAGTTAATTAATGCCCCTGGGTTTTTAACCTATTTTGATTTTTACCAAATGGTTTCTACTCCTCGGTTTTATTGATTGGTTAGGTTTGCCTGTCTTTTGTTTTAACCTTGTTGGGCCTATACACGTGCCTTTTAGCATCTTTGGGATTCTTTTCCCTGGTTTTACTGACTGGCTTCTAGCTTTTCGGCCTACTTCTAAGTCTGTCCCAGTTCGAGTTCCTTGACCAGCTATTAATTTACTTACCCATGCCCCCACTTGAGAGATATTCATTTAGAATAAAAGATAAGCGCTCAAGTAATAAAGGTTTAGTTACATTTCAAATGTCAAAAGTCTTATTCAGAATATGTTAAGAGATAATTGCTCAAGTAATAAGGAATTAATTAAATTTCAGATGGTATGAGCTTTTTTAAATCACAAACAAGTAAGTATCTTTGGAAACATAATATTTGACTTTATCAACATGCAGTTGCCAAAAAATCAGTCATAAATTATGCGGTCGACCAAATATGCAATTACCAGAAAATTAAACCTAAACTTTCATAATCACAAACAACCAGAATTACACAGCAAACTTACCATTGTCTGAAGTAGAAACTCCATACTTTAATCAATTGCTTTTCAAGGTAGTGTAATAGCCTTCTCGTGATACTCGTCATTCTTTTTTTATTCTCGTTTTTTTTAACTAGATTCTCATACTGCAGGTCCTCTTAATATTATCCTTATCTCCTTGGTGGGAGACTTTGTTGTTGTGGCTTGTTGCTGGGAGTACCTTGGAGTTTTCAACAAATTTTTTGAGGAGACCGTTGCGAATGAGATCTTTCTCCTTTTCCTTGAGACCATGATATCCTTGTGTTGGATGGCTCTGACCCGGACGGAAGAGGCAATATTTTCCTTTAGTTTTTGTGAGATGACACCTCTATCTTTTTGGGCCATCTAGGTAGGTCCTTATCTTTTATCAAGATCTATTCGAGTGGGATTGTCGTTGGAGTATACCTCTCCAGAGGTTCTCGTTGAAGCGAGCCACATATTTTTTTAGGCTCTCCATTAATTTCTATTTTATGGTAAGAAAGTAGGCCACATCCTCCAGATGCCCTAGCCAACTCTTTGAAGAAGAAAATTAACTTCCTCCTCAATTGTCGAAACCAGACGTGAGTCATACTAGTTAACGTGAATGAAAATACCTTGCCCTTAACAACTTTTGTCACTCCGTAGATGTCAATCCATCCTCTGTATGCATCTAGGTGATCAGTAGGAACTGTTGAGTCGTTGTATTGTATGATAGCAGAAAATTTTGACCTTTAGAGGGACTATCTTTTCCACGAGTAGTGAATCTGCCTGGTAGGCGAAAAAGACCTGGTCAGAATACGAGGCCTGGTCAGCCGAAGAATCTTGGTACGCGAAAGAGACTTGGTCGGCAAAAGAGACCTTACCAATGGAAGAAACCTGGTCGGCCGAAGACACCTGGTCGGCAGAAGAGACCTTACCAACCGAAGAAACCTAGTCGACCGAAGACACCTGGTCGGCAGAGACCTGGTCAGTAGAGACCTGCTCTGCTGAAACCTGATCATGCCCTGAACCTAGTCATTCCTTGGATCCAATCATGTCCTGGAGTCTGGTCATGTCTTGGATTGGGTCATGACCAGTTATATAGTTTGCTTGTTAGGTCTTTGTAGTAGCTTTGTTCTTCTATGGACCTCGGACGAGCGTAGGTTGTTTTTTCTTTTCTGTATTTGTTGACTCGTTTATCCCAGATTCTGTTTTGGAATCCGTCGATTTATCTCATTTAGGATCTATCCTAGAATTTGTTGATTTGTTCATTCTG